CGCTACAAGCCAATTGTTCAGCTATACCAATCCTCCAAGCACATGTGGTTCTTTCTTACTTCCATGCCATTGTTACATGTGTTCCCCACTTAAAATGTTTTTTTACCCCTAGGTCCTACTTTATGATCCAGTTCAAATTCTATCACATCTCTGAAAACTTCCTAAACCCCATTAGTTTATGAGAATATTTCTTTCCAGTCCTGTATGTCAGACACAGTTCTGGATGTTTCATAAGCTCCTTCCTCCACTACCCCCCAGCCATATAATCCTAAGAAACTGATACTACCATTATTGTCATTTTGCAAATGAGAATATCGAAGATCCTTCAAGATAAATGGAAGACCCGAGGTTGTAAACATGAAGAAACCCCATTCCTTTAACGTGACCTTTTCTCCTTTCTGTCCTTCCACTCCCTTCCTCAATCGTTAACTCCTTAGGACATCAGATTCTGGTCAGCATCAAACTTAAGAACAAAGCTTCAGGCCTGTTCAGCACAAAACAGATTTCCCTGAAGCTCAAGATAACATCTTGACTTTGGCTGTATTTCAGCCCCAGCTCTAAGAAAGAAAGCAGAAAGACCCTATCCTAACTATACCCTTAGACCACACCCTCAGGTGATCAGACACAACAACATCCAGGCTGACATCAGGGCCCCCATACAGTGATCAACTAGCCCCTATCTTGGCCCTAATCAATTCATAGAACCCAAGGCACTAAGTCCTTCCACCACCAAGATTAATGACTTTTCCCCCTGCATAACCCATCCCCTGGAAGCCACTGGGAGCCAGGTCTTTGAGCATTAGTTTACCTGGGACTCCGGGCTCCGCACCATTTCCTCAACTACCTCTTGCTTGCATGTGATTCCAATTTCATGCACCCAGACAGAGAGGCCCACTTATTCTGGTAACAGGGTTGAACGCACACCTGTCTTGTTCCCGTGCAAAAAGAGTAAGATACTCATGTTTTAATCAGGTATTATATAACATGTGCCAGGAAAAAATTCAAATCCTTAACATGACTCATAAGACCCCTCACAACATAGCTCTTTTCTTTCATTTCTTGATGATTTCCCAGTCATTCCTTAAGCCTCAGCCACATTAGCTTTCTTTCAGTTTCTAGAATTTACTGAGCTACTACATAACTCAAAGCCTTTGCAGATACTGTTTTCATTGCCTGAGATGTTCCTCCCCTCTTCTCACATCCAATCCCTATTCATTATAATCTCATTCTAAACAATTCCTCAAGACTCCTGTCATTCTTCTAGAGAAAGCGATGTTAAATCCCCCATTAACCATGGTATTTTATAGAACCTTCTGCAACTCAAAATAGTTTGGTAATATTTACTTAATGTGTTTCCCATACTGCTGTGTGGTGACTTCTTTCTCTATCACCACATTTCTCTGGCATCATTTTTCTTTACTGTACACCCAGTGAGTGAATGACTGATGTCTTTAACTCTCATGATTCATTTTAAGACTTGATGGAATCAAACATTTACCTCATAGCTAGTGAATAATTGCAATTTTGCATATTGACGAACACTATTTCCATTACATAAATGTTAACGAAGCTGAAATCATTTTTCTTTTTTATGGTCACTGTTAATATACGTTAAAATCTAAATTAACTAGTATACAAGAGCTTTATCCTTGAATGTTGTTCAAATAAATGTGAACTAAAGTGGATGACAGAGGTTCCATGGAAAGGGATAAACTGCTGACCCAGCAGAAGAGTCAACTGCCATGCATGAGGCAAGTGCATTGCTTGTCCCTCAGGGGCTGGCAGCTGGACTCCAGCTTCAGATAGAGAGCAAGGTGTCTAATCCGGAGAAAACAACCAAATCATCCTTTCCATTCTTCCAGGATTACAGAAATTACTAGGAGTTCTAATTGCTTCACCTTGCATTGCAGTTGCTGAAGTTTCCTTAATAAACTTTCTTACCCCAAAAGCCAGGTGTCAACAATGTGAATTAGCCACCAAACTATGAAGAAGGGCATTTCTTCATAAGTTGCTAAGGAACCTACAGTGACTGGGATTCAAATATCTCAGAGATTATAATAGCAGAAATGGATTTCATAGGATTATTCACTGTAATGGACAGACCCTTCAGTACATCACCTTTAAAGACTTGCATCTTCATGCTACTGCATATGTAAACTGCTACTGAGAAATCTATGCCTTTTTGGAAGCTGATGTGCATTTACTCTTTATGTGTTGGGGGTTTTGAAAGGCCTATATGTTCCGAAGGGAGCTTACTCTCATTAAAGACAGACCAGATAGTAACAAAAAACAAAAGTTCCTCTTGCCTCTGGGTATCCAAAGGGCATCCTGGATCTTGACCATATGCATGTCAGTTCCATCTAGGAGAGAACAATTAGCTGCAGCAACCCCTCCTCATTTTACTTAAGGACTTGGTTGTCAACATCTCTTCCCAGACCCCAGCTTCAAAGAAAATAAGCAAAGCTCCTCATCATATTGTGTTCACACCAACTTAGCACTTTCCAAAGACCTAGAGAAGATCATCCAACATATGTATACTATTATTTGACTATCATGTTAAAAGGCATGTCATCTTTGCTGTAGACCCTAGGGATATAAAGACAACAACAACAACAAAAATTCACCCTGCCCTTGGGTTTAGCTTTGTAGAAAAATTTTAACTAATGATGAGTATCTACAAATATGTCTCCAACACAGTAATGGATTCAAACTGAAACTACTTACTGAATGAAGTGTAAGATTAGACGTCCGGCCCCTACCTCCACTTCTCTTCCCAACTCTACTCTGCCAAACAAACTTCTGAGTAAAATTGCGTCACACTGCTGAAATAAATACGGACCCAAGATTTATCTCTTACTCACTTTGATCTCTTGGCCTGCTATTAAACAGGTATGACTGCAAGATTCCAAGATTGCAGAGATAAAAAATTCAAATTGACTGAATTTTTCAGTTCAATTGTTAGTAGTGTTTGAATCACATTTCACTAATCAGATTTCACTAATTTACAACGTACTGAATTTTGAAAATGCAAGGATTCTGTGGCAAAATGCTTCATTAAAAACATTTTCTACACACAATTTTAGAAAATTTAAGCAAGCAACTAGATATTAAGCAAAAAAAAAGAAGGTAGAGTGAAAATCTCCAGGTCTTCAATGTCTATTTGACGCTTGGTCTTGTCTTCCTCACCCACTCCATTCCCCCGGGCCCTCCTAACCCAGACTAACCCACCAGCAACTCGTTCCTTCTCTTCCATGGATGTCTGGTCTCTGCCTTGTTTGGCCCTCATTGGTTTTTACTTGGAATGTCTCAGTGACTTTTTAATTAAGTTCTTTGCACACAGGTTTATGGGGAGGGACAGTCACATAAATCATTTCAGTACCATAATTTTGTGACAGAAATGTGGACACAGAACTTTTAGAACACACAGCTAGGAGAGGAACTAATCTGTGTTTTGATCTAAGAAATACTAAGAGGGTGTCCTGCTTCTAAAATAATTGTGGTATAAGAATTAAAAGTTAGTCGTTCTTCTTCTGATATTTATAGGGCCTATTTCATTCATGACATGGTCTTAATTCTTAACTCAGTTAATCTTCATACCATTTCTACATTTCTATAAATGAAAATGGAAGCACGGAGAGATTAAGTAACATGCATGTGAACACACAGCCAGTAACTATGAAAGCCAAGACTCACACGTAGGGTTCTGGTTCCAGCTCTCAGTTATGATGACTCCCCCGAGAGCAGGGGCTTTCTGTTGCTCATTGGTGTATACCTAGTGCCTGGGAACTGCCAGGCATGTAAGAGAGGGTGAGTCAAACACTACTGGTGTAAAAAGAACTGGGAGAGGAAAGGCACTCAGATTCTAAAGGGAAAAACATGTAAACATTTTCAGACAGGACAGAACAGGGTATGGCGGCAACACAGATCAGACTCTGGTCAACCTGTCCTTCCCCTTCCCGGTTCTCTGCTCAACAAGGGGGCATGTGTCAGATGTGAACCGGACCATGTCATTTCCCCCCGTCTCACTGCTGGGTACTTAGAAATGGGAATGGTGAACCTTACTGCAGTATTTCTTCAGCTTTTACAGAAAACATCTCTCCCTCATGGCTGGGAGATGAGAGCAACCACACTCTTAAAAGCTAGGCACAGAGCCAAAAATATCAGCCACAACTCAGTTCTCAAGACTGCGCCTCACCCTTAATAGTCTAGTAACTTTGGTGTTTATTCTATAATGTATCTCTGTTGTAATATACAAAGAGTGTCTATAACTACTTATTATGGCAGCTCTAGGAGAAAACCTGTTATTTCTACCATGATTTCTAGCACCCCTGACCTATAGGTGCATTCCTTCTGGGCACTCCATTCCGCAACCTCCTATGCAAAGCAGGGTTCTGGGCCTAATCCAAGCTACTTACCCTGACACAGAAAACCCTTCTGGATCCAGCTTCTGACTGGCAGCGCCCCTTCCACCTCCCTCGCTAACACCCGTTATTATTCGCAACCACAGCAACTATCCAATTTCAACCTGTTTTCCATCTCCTGCTCTGCAATAATTAGGTCCACCTGGGCTTGGAGACGACCTGCCTATCCGCCCAAACCGTGCTTCGCTGTGATTTTACTGAAGTCTTTCCTCTACCCTCTTCTTCCCCAGGGCTACTTAGCAACGCTTCCCGAGTGAAAGAAACTGGTTGCATTAGTTTGCATGGCTTTCACCCACCCTGGACTGTGCACAGGCCTTTATTTTGGTTGGTTTAACATCCCCAGGGCCAAGTAGAGCCCTGACATACAAGTAAATCTCTGTCTATAGGAAACTGGACTCACAATATAACTGAGCCCCTCAATAGAAGGCAACAGATCTATGAAACTGAAATTAAACACAAACTGAAAGATCTGAACACACATCTCCAGTCTCGATTTTCGTTTCCAATAGAACTCCAGGCTCCTGATGCAGGGAGCGTCAAGCCCAGAGATCGATCGCGGTTGGCGAAGGAGTCACTCACCAGCTGGTGGAAGGGTGTCTGTTCTCTAGGGTTTTGGTCCAGGGCTTGTACCAGCTGATCTGCTCCGCGGCTTTGCCCCAGAACCTCTCCGGGTCGGCCACCGAGGCCGCGAAGTGGGTCTTGTACTCGCCGCCGCCGCCCGAAGACAGCGCGCGGCAGCCCCGGCCCCCGAGAGCGCCCCGCGGGCCGGGGGCCGCGTAAGCCCTGCGGGCCGTGCCGGCGCCCCGAGCGGGTGAGGACCCGGGCAGGGGTCCCCCGAGTCCTCCGGCACCAGTGACTTTGCGGCACTGCAGCCAAGACGGCTTCATCGCCCACAGCTGCCCCCACCCGCCCCTCGCAGGCTCTGCGACCTGCGGCCCTGGGGTGGACTTTCCAGACCACGACTGGGCTTGGTTGGGTGCTGGAGGCTTCCTGGGCCCGGGGGAGCCGGCGGGAGGCGGGGGCAGATTTCGGGTAGAGCGCGGAGCCTCGGAGTTTGGAAGTCACACTAGAGTCGCCGGGAAAAACCGACCTGGAGCCACCCGGGAAGCAACAGGCTGGAGAAGAGGGGGCGGTGTCACAGCGCCCTTGCGGGTGGCGACTGCGGCCCTGCAAGAAATCTAACCCCTCGGTGCAACGCCCACCCCACGGTTCCCAGGGAAAGTGCCCTGGAGCTCAGAACGCCCTCCCTTCTCCCACACACAGGTGCCCCTAGGATGAGGCGCACGGGCCGGTCCCGCTCTGTTTTTAAGCCGGCAAGTTAGGCACAGCCTCTCTGGGTTATTGTTTGGAGAGCGAACTGGTGGAAGCCGCATCGCTTTGGGCCTGCCCAGAGCGGAAATCTGTCAACCTGGGTTTTGCGGCAGGCCCCTAAAGTAGTTGTAAAATACATAAATAAAAGTTTAAAAAACTAAAACTCAGCTCAGTCTCTGGTTATTAAAAACACATACGGCTCCTGGGGCAAAACTGCTCCAGGATTTCCTGACAGCTGTAGAAGTGGAAGGAGGTTTCACTGGCAGAATTGGGAAAGGCTTCCCCGGGGTGGGGGGTAGGTAATCCATGGAGATAAGGGGTTCATCTGCTGTCTGGACTCCCCACAGGATTAGAGGCAAAAAGAACTGACTTGTTGCATGTCCTCCCTTCTAATTTGCCTCTTTTGAGTTTCTGTGGCTTTTTTAATGCAAAAACAAACAAACAAACAAAACAAAACAAAAGCAAGAAAGAAGAGTTTCATGGAGATCAAATGAACCAATGAGGAAAAGAGGAAGTTGGGAAAATTAAGAGAAAGGCGGTATAAATTACTAGCTACATGAATTTAACATTCTTCAAGCTCCTTCCCAGTTTTTTTTTTTTTTTTTTTTACATCATGGTGAAATTCAGGAGCGATTTCATTGGCCTTTGGATTATGTGAAACACACTCCGTTTTGGTGTGACAGTATTTGCAGCTTTAAGTGTAAAAACGTGCACCCCAAATCGTAAGTGAGAAATAGTGTAATATCCCTGGTCCTGGGAAGAATTGTAAGCTTGAGAAGTTGTAAACAGATTATTCTTCAAGAAAAGAATAATGTAGAGGTAAAGGTTAAGCAGAACAGAAGTAAATCTATTGCAAAACAAAGAAAATTTCTGTAACTAACCGCCTCAGCTATTTCCTTTCAGCTGAGAAACAAGGCACTAGACTTTTCCCTGACACCTGCAGCCTATTTTATTCCTTCCGAAGGCCTCAAATCAAAAGATTTCCAATAGCAAAAGATGCTTGCCCCTACTTGAATCCAGAGAAAGTTACAAGATCATTTAACCTATTGGCTCCCTCCTTCCCTCTGCCCAGGTGCTTAATGGTGCTCTCTGGTATACAAGATCCCCTGACTCTAAATCATTCCCTATGGAATTACAATGATGTCCACCTCAGGCATTTGCTTAACAAATATGTGAGTACCTGTACTGCAAGATGTGGTTTGTTGGGGGAATTATGATGGAAGGAAGCAGACAATTGTTGCCTTACTGTGTGTACACATTGCGCTCTCACTTTCAAGTATGTTAGCCCCTGTGATTCTCAAAGGAATACTGAGAAGTGGGAATTATAATTCCCGTGTTTACAAATGAAGCTTAAGAGAGGTTAACCTGATCAAGGCCATGAAGCTACCAAGCAAAACAGGATTCAAACCTTGTTGATACTCAGAGCTCGGCAGCCCAGCCACTCTGTGGGCTCTGTGTGCTATGATATTGATGGCACTGCGTGCAGGAGAGGGCTGGCTTAGGGACAGTCTACTTCAGTCTTGCTGCTTACCCCAGTGTCCTATACAAATGTCTCCATTTTCTCTGTTCCCTGACTTGAATAAGATGGGGAATCTGACTCCAATGTCCAGGGTTTTTCCCACTAAGCTGATTAACTTTCTACTAGAAGAAGAAGAGGAAGAAGAAGAAGAAGAAGAATTTTAGACTTCCAATAAAATATGACAATTTAAATATCCAGATGACTTCTGTTCATCTAGAAACCCCACTGAATCAAGGAGGTGGTGGTGGCGGTGGTGGCAGTAAAGGCCCACAAAGACAAGGGGAACAGAAGAGGAGAAACCAAATGAGAGGTTGGAAAGAGGGTAGATTTGTAGTCTATGACTTAGAAGGTGAGCTGGGAGCTGAATTTAACTGCTGTTAGAGGAAAAAAAATATTTTCTCATCAGAAACCTGGAATGTCTCAGAATTTAGAGGCCCTGGGTTCCTGTCAAGGCTCAAAATGAAAGGTAAGGGCTTAAAAACAAAAGGACTAATCAAAGGATTGTGTAAGGTAAAGTTAGACACTCCCCCCCATTGCAGATGAAACCATTTTCTCTGAACTCAGCAGTACGTAGTCCACAGGGAAGGCCTGAAACCTTGGAAAGTACTGAAACCTATGTAGGCGACATTTTTGCAACACGGACATACATATCTTTTCACTTAAAGGAATCCCTCTCCGGCTTCTCTTTGGCATATCTGAATTGCCAGAATCACTGTTCTTATGCATTGGGGCTATTATTAAGTAAAGTGAGGGTTACTGGAACACAAGTGATACCCAGACAATCCTGATTGATAACCAAGGTGGAAACTAAGTACCTAATAGGCAGGTAGCTTATACAGCCTGGATACTCTGGATGAAGAGCTGATTCGTAGTCCAGGCAGGACAGACATGACAGTGTGAGATTTCATCAAAAGAGCCCACAACTTAAAACTTGTAAATGGTTCATTTCTGTAATTTTCCATGAGGTATTTCTGGACTACAGCTAACCACGAGTAACAAAATGCAGAATGCAAAATCACGATTTTGAGTTAGGGGTGACGGCTGCTCACATTGTCTTGTTTTAAGTAATTGTACAACATAGACGACTAACATAAGTTTCATGCAGTCCAAGGAAGAGCACGAGTCCAAGGAAGGCACGGTAAGCGAAGGCCAGGAGTGTAGTGCACAGGTAGTGTACAGGTAGAGTGGGAGTGGCCCGGGAGACTAAACACCTCTACTGGAGTTAGACAGGGCGGTGCCAAGTAGTGTCAAATGCAGCCCAGGGCCCCGGGGGTAAATCATTGGCCTTTAAAGTAAGACACTAAAAGCTTATTGACTGGTCACTAAGCATGCGAATAGCTTAAAATCATTATCTCTTGACTATTCACTTGAATCCTAGTAACTAATAAGTAGAAAAACTTGGAAAATATATCAACTTTCCTACACTGCAATTTTAGTATCTGTATTCTGAGGTTGATGCTTATCTCATAGGGTTGCTGCAAATTTTAAATATGTGTGAATTGCTTAGCATCAGGGCAGGAGCAAACCAAATGAACTTAGGACAGCAGCAAAGCCTGTGAACAACCGACCGGTCCAAACAATCAACACTCGAAACCTTCAGCTTTGTACCAATACTAAAAAATGTACAATCAAACAATTTCTAAATAAATTATTTTAATTTAAGCATGCATTAAAAAAATAAAGTTACATTTGTAGCCCTAGTTGGTATGGCTCAATGGATTCAGTGCAGGCTGTGAACTGAAGGGTTGCCGGTTCCATTCCCAGTCAGGGCACATACTTGTGTTGCAGGCCAGGCCCCCAGTAGGGGGCGCATGAGAGGCAACCACACACTGATGTTTCTTTTCCTCCCTTTCTCCCACCCTTGCTCTCTGTCTAAGACTAAATAAATAAAATATTTTTTCAAAAGAAAGAACAAGGGAAAGGAGCCTGGAGCAAGAAAACTTAATTCCTAAGGGAAAGATGCTAAAAAATAATAATAAATAAGAGGAAAGCAGAGTGAAATTATAATTGAAAGGGGGAAAAGACACAGAAATCCTACAGTTTATATTTTCCCACTTTACAATTTTTAGCTCGGTTTGGTCATCTCTAGTAAAAACAAACCCTTTTACCAGAGAGAAGAAAAGTTATTAAAGAGTACACAATTTTAAAATAATTGTAGATTACCCTGGTCATGTATTTTGCTGGCCATCCAATTTATATCTTCACATAAATGTGTTAAGAGTCAAATGTCTAACTTTGGGTAAGTAGGTAAATATTAGAGCTATTGAGATTTTGCTTATCACACAAACAAGAAGGTTCCTATACATCCATTTCATGGTTAGTACAAAAATTTGACAAGTTAAACATGGAAACATTTGGGCAAAGTACACAGTTGATGTCTGCAGCAAAGACATGCTGAGCTGACTTGAGCCTGCAGAAACACTCTACATTTATTCTGATTCAGCAAAGGGTTTCTGGAAACTATGCTGATTTTCACAGCTTTAAAAATATTTTTACAGCTTCTAAAGTGATATGGTGCATACTTTCTTTTTGCCCACATAGTAATAAAACAGCCTTACCCAATTTTCTGGTACCAGAATCCTGCCTATAATCCTTCCTCAGTTCCTAGGGTAGGATCCAGAGATGGAAATCTGTGCTCGCCATTCAGTGGTGCCCAGTGAGTATCCTGGCCTCCTCGTGCCCCAGCCGCCTTTGCCCACTATAAGCGAAGCCCTGTATTCCCTGCGTGTCATAATCCAGCATGATTTTGGCACTACAGTAGCTATAGGGAAACCAATGAGAGCCAAAGGGACTCCAATGGAACTTCGACAGGTGCAGCCGCGTGGGATTTCACAGAGTTCCTGTGACAGTAGGTGGGTGTTCCATAACCCTCATGGGGGTGAAGCCCGCTCCCCTGAGAAAGAACACAAAGAGGAATTGGGACAGTGGGAGAGCGAGACCGCTGCCATCCCTCCGCTGCGGCTTAACAAAGTTGACGAAGCCATCCAGTGCGAAGCGGGCTGGTGGCAGGACGCAGAGTTGGAGCAGTCCCCTGAGTCACCACCAGAAGGAAATAGAAAGGGAACAGTGAAAAAGTGGGCACAGAGTAGGAAGCTGGATGAAGAGGAAGTGAGAGCAGAACAGCTACTCCAAGAGGGCTATTCTCCCTGCCGCCTGGTTGGCTCTGGTTAACCAAGTTGATGAAGGCATCCGGTGTGACAGGAGCTGGTGTCAGCTCCAGAGGTCTCCTGAGCAAAATGCCCTTGGTAAATGAAGAGTCGTCACCAGAGTGCACAACAAAGAGGTGTAGGAAAAAGGCCAAAAATTGGAAATTAAACACAGGTGACCATGCCTGAAAGCATTTTTCTTAAATCGTAAGACAGTGTATTTGGAAAAAAAAATGCTACCTTGAACATTAGCCTTCCCAGCGAC